CCCATGGCTCCGCAGGAAGCCACCGCACTTACCCGATTAAAAGCAACAGGAAACCCCCGGCGCTGGAAGCTGCTTCATTTGTATTGGTGCCATGTTTAGTCAGTGACTTTTGTAAAATTGATGAATTTTGTCTAAAGGCAGGTGCAGACAGGCAAACAGATCTGTATCTGCTGTTATCCATTTAGCCTGACACACATGTGCGGAGGAACTATTTTACCTCGATTCTTTCAGGACTGATGAAAAGTAAATGCAAGCCAAGTCATGAACTGCATCATTGGAAAAGAATCACTGAGTCTAAGCCTGGGAGTTAATTAAGGCTTCCCTCCCCTTGAAATAGACTGACCCTGGTGCTCAGACATTCAGAGTCAATAAACAATTGTTGTACACAGATCATCCATTAGAAGGTGATGGCAAGAATTTTTTAAGCAAATCTCAAATTGCGGTGGGTGACCTAATCTTGCTGGAGTAATGGCAGGACTGGAGAATCATTTTTCATAGGATCTCATTTATAAAAAGTTCCAAGCCATCTGCCTAGGAAAAAAACGGAAGCTGTGAGGGGCAAATGGGAAAATACAGGCGGTCACGTGTTATTCTGGCACGAAGGACGAGACGCGATGTGAATCACTTAATGTGTGCGATCTTGGTGACAGCGCGACCCAGTGAGCTAGGCGTTACCATCATCCCTGTTAAATACACAAAGACTGGGGCACAGAGAGGTCAAGGGACTTGCCCAAGTCCCAAAGCTACCATGGTTATCACAGGAAACTGGGATAATAAACATTATAGCTCATGCCTCACTGAAGACCTGCTATTCCAGGCACTTTATATGCACAGTATTTTTTTTTTTTTTTAGATTTTATTTGTTTGAGATAGAGACAGAGGGAGAAGCAGACTCCCCGCTGAGCAAGGAGCCCGATGCGGGGCTCAATCCCAGGACCCCAGGATCATGACCTGAGCGAAACGCAGCTGCTTCACCGACTGAGCCCCCCAGGCGCCCCTATGCACAGTACCAAATCTACACAACGACCTCAGGTGGTAGATCCATTACTCTGATCCCCATTTTGTTGACAAGAAAACACAGGTTCGAAAGGATGGTAGCCTTTGGGTCACACACAGGACCAGGATTCAAAGTGGGGAAGCCAGCAGCCAGAAGCCTCAACTGCTACCCAGGAATCAGAAGGAAAGCTGATCGATGCTAGCGGGATAAATCGAACGGGGGCGCAGAGGAGGCGCGTTTTCGACCTGTGCGAACAGGCTGGGGGTGAAGGGCTGTGGGCAGGGCTGCAGGGGAGCCAGGTTGCAGCCTGCACGGGGCGCCGGGCGCAGGCTTTCTCTTTACTAGTAGGAGTCCGGCAGAGAAGCAGACCCTGCAGACGCTTTCCTGGGGCCCCCAGCCGGCCCGGGAACGTGTGGAGGTCTCTCTGGAGAGCATGAGAGAGGCCCGTGTATCCTTTCCTGACAGCCGGGGAAGCCGGCCTCCGGGTCCCAGCAGCTGCAGGAAGTCATTACCTGCACCTCTCCCGCCTCTCCCCTTCCCCACCCCAGCCTCTAAGGCCCGGCGCCCCTGCAGCCGCTCACGACAGCACAACTGGGCCTTTCCTCCCCCTTTATGGTTGTCAAATTGATTTCACCACCGTGGTACCTATGGCTCTCAATGAGACCTAATTAAAAATACCATTTAATCACAACGTAACAAAGGCAAACTGGATAAATGGCATTACCCCATCAGCACATCCTGATCTGCTCTCTCCTCTCCTGCTCAAGCTGTTTGGAGGAGAATTGCCTTTTCAAATAAGAATCCCCCTGTCTTCCACGCACTTGCCTCTGACAGATCTCCAGAATAAACAGTATTTAGCGTGGCATGGATCCAAATGCATGCAATTTGCCCAGTGGTGAAATCAGCCTTAACTAGAGCAGGGAAGGGAAAAAAAAACAAAAACAAAAACAAAAACCAGTTGCATTCGAAAATACCCTTCCCCTGAAACAGGCAAAAACCCTTCTGCTGAAGGTGGGCTGTCCATTAAATAGGGCCTGTGGAATCTCATTTCCAGCATCCCTCGATTCAGTTGGTGATGGATTTAGAAGCTTATTACGAAAATTGTGTCACAAGCGAAGCCATGACCCTGCTCTTTTCTGTCTAGCGAGCTCCCCTGGTGGGGAGGCTGGGGCTGCAGGAGCTGCTGGGGTGAGGCAGCAGGGTGGGGCGCCCCCTCATGCACCCAGAGGGGCCCCTAGCACAACCTCCCCATCTCAAGGTCTCGGCCAGTGCGTGGGAGTCCCAGTTAGAATGCTGTGCCTTTGGACAGACCGTCTGCTCTCTCGGAGACACCTTGGAGTTCGGGGTAGCCAGTACCACCATCTCACGCACAACCCGGGGGTGTTTCTCGGGTGTCTGGAGCCAGGCCCATGCACCCCCCGGGCTGCATCTCCCCCACTCCTGGTTTCCCTGCTTCGGCCACAGCGGCCCGGCCGGTTTCTTCCTCGGGCACCTGACTGCCGCACTTTCCTGTGCACGTCCCCGTCCCCTGCTTTCCCTGACCTCCTGATCTGAGCCACCCTTCGTCAGTCCCCAGCGACGCTGTGTCCCCCCCTCACCCAGTGGGCTCCCTTCCAGCACTTACGAACATCTGAAACCGTCTTGCTACTGATTTGCTGGTTTACCATCTGTCTCCCCACTATTTTGGTCACTGCGTGTCCCCAGCACTCGGTATGGGGGTTGGCACAGAGGAGCCCTTGGAAGGCAGGGACAGGTCCTTGGATGCCCAGGGTTCACCAAGCCTGCTGAGCGGTGCTAGGTGGTCAAGGAAGGTTTGTGGGAGGGCAGCAGGGAGGGGAAGTCAGAAGCATCTTAGTGCATAGGGACCTCTCCAGATAGCTGGGACCAGGGGGTGGGGAAGACGGGCAGGAAGCAAGCGGGGTGGCCTGCTGACTCCGGGTGGTCCGGGGGCCAGGCGGTCCACTCCCTCAACCCCACACGTGGCCCGTGTTCCCAGCAAAGTCCTCCCCTAGCTCTCAGGGGCAACAGGCCTTCCTTTGGCCTTGCAGGAACTGAGTTGACGGCCACTGCCCCCCCTGCAACCCCCTGCATATTGTCTCCCACCTGACACCTCCCTGCAGAGCATACGTCATCCTCACCCACGCCGAGCTCACGCTTGCTGAAAGCCATCATCTCTTCTGCGAAAACGAGATCTCACCTTTCGGATTCACTCTAGGTAGTGGTTTCTCCCACCCTGGCAGTGCATCACCTGGCCCCACCTGGAGGACTTCGAGAACCATCTCCGCCTAACCCCACCCGAGCCAAGGAAGCAGGCCCACCCACTAGCGTTGCGAGCGGAAAAGAGCAGGACCTCTCTCAGTTTCTTATCTTATCCTTTTAATATTTTTATTGTTTATGAATGTTTTATGATGTACAAGACATATTACTACAAGGAGTCCACAAATAGAGCTCAAGAGTAACACACACATCGGGGAAAGCACTAAACATGATTACCTATTTCTACCGTAGGGGTGCAAGCAAGCAGGTCTGGAGAGCGCTGACCATTAAGGGTCAGGGTGATGATAAATGGTAATAGGGAGCACCCGGGGCCAGGGAGGGCTCACGTCCCGCCCCAGAGCGAGAAGACGCCACCTAGCGCGTTGCCACGCCAGGACGGAGGCCGAGCGCTGCCAGATGTTCTGAATTCTAGGGAGAATGCACACGTTTGTACTTTGTAGGGAATCTCCCAATTCTGAAATATGGGCACCTCATGAAACGGAACACAGAACAAGCACGGGCGCTAAATATAGCAGCAGAGGCTACGCGGCCTGGGTGCCGGGGCTGTGGTTTCTCGGTGTCACACGCTCCGTACCTCCCGGAGAGCTTGTCATCCCCACGACAGCCCGGTGAGGCCGCACTCCCTCTCTCCTTCGCCGACGGGGCTCAGGACGTCAGGGAATTCATGCGTGGTCCAAGAGAACCGAGGCTCCAGACCACGAAGCCCTGGCTGCTCTGTGTCAGGCGGCCCTTCGGCGGTTAGCCAGCTCCATGGACGTGAACACCACCTTGAACCTGGGGGATTCTGATGGCCGGAGAGAGTCTGCCTTTCCGTGCGCCCCCCTCAGCGGGCAGAAGAGCCTTTCAGCTTCCAAACTACGGTAAACCACTACCAGAGGAGGCCCCAGGCTGGGGCGAGGGGCTAACTATTCTCGCGATTTCTGGCGTCACCACGGGGCAGGAGCCAAGCCAGAAAGGGAGAAATGTGATAATGGCGTCACGAGACAAAATCAGCATGAGGGCAGAGGAAGGAGGGGGCAACGCCTACATCGGGTCAGCTCACAGATACAGAAGAACACTAATATTTATCGGGTAGCTAACCAGCTGTCAGAAGTTGTTCTACACCTGTAGCTAGGTTATTCCGTTTACTCTTCCCCTTGTGAGTTGGTGCCTTTAGTATCCCCGTCATATGGGTAAGGAAACTGAGACACAGTGACATGCCAAAAGTCACGGAGCCAGTGCGCATTTTGATCCAGGCACTTTAAAGCCAGGGCATACACATCGCCTCTGATGCACGGATGTCCTCAGGATGGGGCACTGGGGCTCCTCGGGCCTCGATCCCACCTGTCATTACACATGGATGAGGGAATTCTAGAAAAATGCACGTGCAGGCTAAATCCATGAAGCAATGCAAACAGGGCCGTGTCTCCTTCATTAGCTCAGGGAAACTTCCCAATGACAGATGTCAGTTGTATTTTAATTTCCACCACCTCCTCATTCCCGGGGGGCAGAGTACAGAACTCATAACTCGGGCTCTTACGTAGGTCTGGCTCACAGAAGGGACAGTGGCCACTCTCCAATGACGCATTTCTCTTTTCATTCCTCCCACTATGGGGATGGTGGCTACAGACAAGTGGAGAAGAGAACTTCCTGCTCTCAAACTTTTTAGAGAAGCGTTACCCAACAGGCCTTTCCACAATGATGAAAATGTTCTGGCTCTGTGATGCCCAATACACTAGTCACCAGACAGCTGAGGCACGGGATTTTTAATTACAATTGAAACTGGATTTAAGAAGCCACACCCAGCTAAGGGCTACCATATTGGACAGCACAGCCTCTAGAGGGCGTGGTGAGAAATTGGGGGGGGAATGGTATCTAGGTTCTGTCTTCCCCCTCGGATGACTTTAGAGTCTTCTACTCTAGAGTTTCTGAAAAGACTGGGGAAGGTGGAAAGTAGGCTGGGATCTGCCAGAGACGGCCCACCCCTGCCACCTTGGCCTTTGGGAGCTGAATGGCTCCCATGAAAAATCCAAATGGGGAATAGTATTTTGGGGGCAGGTTCTTGTTTCGTACCAAATCAGATTATAACACTGTGCCATTTTTAAACATTTTAACATTCATGGGCTCCATTGCCTACTCTTTCTAAGGGGACCCAGGTTCTGTGATCTAAAGGTCAAGGTCTACCCATACTGCCCTTGCCCAAGCCCACGGCAAGGTTGGAGGAAGGAAGTCAAAAATCTCTTTTCCTCCTCCACCTAAGACTTGTGCTCCTTCTAGGGTTTTCCTTCCAGAAGCAGACTTCTGAGTTCTGAAACGATGTCTGTGAGATCGAATGGCAGAGGCATCGAAGGATCATCCTTTTCCCAATATGGTCGACATTCTGGCTTCTGATCCACAGGTAAGGTTCGGGCAATTCGGGACTGGCACCTGGAAGAGTAGGAAGAGGCAATTAATCCATGGGAAGAAATTCCTGAAAGACCCAAATTCATGGGCAGTTTGGAACGACACTGCCACGCACTCCAAAGACAATGCTTCGCGATGGTGGTGATGATATGAAAGAAGGAGCTCACCAGGTACAATGCAGGTGTTTAGAAGACAGAAGAGCTCTTCTTCGTGGTGCTGGAACTTCTTTTTCTTTTTTCAATTCCCAGCTTTGTATTATCTCTAGTGGCTCCACAGAAGCCAATCACCAGGGAAATTCAGTTACTCTGGCTTTAAAATGGTGAATTATTTTTTCATTATCTCAACTGTTATTTAAAGTGTGTGATTAAGCCATTATCAGATTTAAATGTTTGTGGGATTTCGATGTATTACTAGATTACTGGGAAAGATTAAATTGAATTTACTGCATTAAAATGTCCAAGAATAGATTAAACAATATTACGGGCCGGGATTGACTTTGGAGATTCTAGAGATTTACAAGTGTCCCAGCTTGCTGTGCTCAGAAAAAGGCACTCCAAGGAGAGACGGATTTATAAGGATATATGCAAATAGAGGTTAATAATCATTTCCACTGATGAATAGGTGGGGAAAACTTCCACAAAATTAAATTAAAAGGCTAGCAAGAGTTACTCCCTAAGGAAAACACTTAAATCACAGTTTTTATTAAATGGATTATTCATCAATAGTAGAGAAATTAATTATCATATGCAACTAAATTATAGCCTTGTAGGAAAAAAGTTGGGGCGACATCATCCCCACCCTGGCAGGCATCTACCTCTCAGAGAGACCAGCTTATTTAAAATTGGTCTGGGAAAGCTCAGTGGCTTTAGCTTTATTCGTCAGAAAAATGAGGATCAGAGAGAATGAAACACAAATTGCAATAAGAAATGAACAATTTCCCTACTCCCTTGGAGCGCACGGCAGTGGAAGCATGTGTACCCAAAAGAAATACTAGGAGTACACTCGAGAAGGAGCTGCATGGGTCCTTCCCCACTCCCACCTTCTCTGCATTGTTCTCAAAATCCATTAAAAAATGGCCATCCCCACAATCTGTCTTCTGTGGAGGACGAACTACGAAGACATCAAAGGAGGGAAGAGCCCGGCCCTATTTCCGAGCCTGATGGCAGGGTAGGTTCCTATAGCCAAAAGACATCTTCTTCTCTGGGGAATTATTAATGGTGAGGGAATCCCCACGGGAAAACATACTTCAACTTTATACCTATTTTCTCGTGTGGTTAATTGCTCTGCCGGCATCCTATGCACTCAATCCGTCGTACATTACACATAACATTCCAATATATCTTCGGCTCTCCGCATCAGACCCTGATAATAGCGTCTGTTAACATGCACTAAGTACTATTATGTAGCACATCACTTCATAAATAATAAGATTAGCTGACCTCAGGGCCCCAAGAAGAGTAATGTGTTTAAATGTTCTCATTATTTATTTAAAACAAGAATTAAAGCAACAGAAGCTGCTTTTGACAATCCTCTTAGCATAAATATTAAACTGTTTGCACTGATAAGCCCCACACAGCGCCGAAGAACAGAGGGTGCGTTCTTAGTGATAGGTGTTTGAGACGGTGCCTCTTGCGGTCGTGGTTCCGAGGGTGCGTCTCTGTAGTTCTAGACACAGTCTCTAAATCACATGAAGGGGATGGAGGCAAATTAACATTCAGGGGGAGCTGCGAATAATTACAAAGGAACTCGGCAAGGCTTTTCAAATTGTGCTCTCTCTCTGCTTCAGGACACAGAGTGATGCTCAATTTACTAGGTAGGGAAAGTTTATTCCAAATTGAGCATCTCAACCTCTCAGCAGATAAATTATCTGTGCACACATTATCCCGGCTGGCAGATTAAAGGCCTATGATAAGTGTCGATCCACCTAGAATATCATAAGGTTTGTAAAAAGTCAATAGAGATGCTTTTTCACCTGTCAGATGGGTTTGCCCCTTTGCTTTGAGAAAGTATTAAAAATATTAAAGCCTGCTGCAGAGGTTTGCTTATGCCGTGATGTATATACACTTCCTCCCCGAGCTTTTCCTTTGGGTGAAGCTGCTCTGTGATTTCCTGCCCCAAACAAGGGCCTGGCTGGTGTGAGAACAACTTCCTTCCCAGGCAGGCGCTGAGAGGCATATCCTTACAATGAAAAATTCTGTAGTCCTTAAGAAAGAATAAAGCAAATTTGGATATACAAATATGAGATGAGAGATACCCAAACAGAGGGAACAGTGTGTGCAAAGGCTCTGGGGTAGGAATGTGTCTGGCATGAGGGAGGCACATGACGGTGGCCAGCATGACTGAAAGGAGCAAAGGATGGATCGGCTACACTCCTCCCTGGCTCCCCCTGGGCTGGAGGTAGAGCCCTTTGTGGGGTCTCTTCACACTCTTAATTCACAGCTTTCAAGGTCGCTTTCCAACTTCTTTTAATGCCCGTGCTCCTTGCTGATTTCCAAAAGGTAGTGACAGGGCCCCCGCAGGGGACTCGTTGTTTGAGGTGATGCTTTACCTACGGGTGAGGATGGGCTACCCCCCATCTCAAATCCTAGTGTCTGGTTCCACATCATGCCAGACTGCGGGACTGAAAGAGAAAGGGATCGAGAATGGCTTGAAGGCGTAGCCCCTTTTCAGTCTCTTTTTTCTTTTCTTTTTTTAAGACTATTTATTTATTTGAGAGAAACAGCCAGAGAGAGCATGAGCGTGGGAGGGGCAGAGGAAGGAGAAGCAGGCTTCCCGCTGAGCAGGGAGCCCGATATCTAGCTCGATCCCGGGACCCCAGGATCATGACTTGAGCCAAAGGCAGATGCTTAATGCTTAACCGACTGAGCCACCCAGGCGCCCCTCCCCTTTTCAGTTTTAATTCCTCCTGCTCAGATCACTCGTTCTGCCTCCTCCTGGCTCATCTCCTATGATGGGGCAGGAGGGAGCTCGAAGCGTCCTGGCGAACGGGGTGCTCTTTGCACACTTGGCACCTGCTGCTGTCTGGGGGCAGGACATCCCAAGCGGGTTTCTCACCCTTGCAGGCTGAGCCTCAACTTCCTGTCCAGTGGGAGTGAGGCTGATGAGGAGGAGAAGGGTGGTAATAACAGTACTTATTTATGGGGTTGTTGTGAAGGGTAAATGAATTAATACATGCAGGGTGTTCTGAACAGCGCCTGAACATCGTAAGCACTCAACAGATATTAAATATTATTATCGCCACCGTTACTTCTACCACGAGGACTAGTGACGGACAGATGATAATGCCAAGAATAGAGCTGTGTCGTCCCTGTGGCAATGCCCCCCCTACCCACTAACTGAGTGGGCGGCCCCTGGACCGGCTCTTTTCTAGGAGAAGCTCTGGAGATATGGGAGCAGCTCTTTCTGGCTCGAATCACGTTGAGCCTGCGGCTGAATCCTATCACCATGTGATATGCCTGGACGCTGAGGCTTATGTATTCAAGCTGCTACAACCTCCCAGTGACAGGCTCAAATGCTCTGATTCAGTAAGACTCAACTGTTGTATCCAAACACCTAGAATTAATAAAAGGCGCTGTCATCGGACTTTCTAAGTGGTGACTCTTCCAGATTGATTTGGCATTTATAGGGAAGAAAGTCGGATTGTTTCTTAGCACGCATACTCTAGAGTTCCTTGTAAAATAAAGGGGCCCTAAGTTCTCTTAGGAAATGTTTTAGGAATGCTGACTGCGGCAAACATTTGCAGTCTGTGTCCATCCCTACCTTCTCCACCAAGAGGACTGAAATTTTCCCGCAGGGAAATCCATCCCCTCCCCATGCCTGGCCAAGTGCTTTGGATGGGATTGGCTCCTAATGAGCACATCCCACTCTCCCAGCCACAGGAAGAGGTTTAGGGGGCGGCATATGACCCAATCTAGGGCAATAGGGAGAGCAAAACCAGAGGACTGGTATGGGAACTGCAGGAAAAGCCTTTCTTATCTCCTGTGAGCTATCAGGATGCACCATCTGGGACAGCCACAGTCATTTGGCTAGGTGCAGCAAGGGGCTGGGTCCTGGGTGATATCATTTGTAGCTGGATCAAGCCACACCTGAAGCTAGGCATGCTTAGACTTTTTTAGTTTCACGAGCCATGATTCAATTAGGTTTTCCTGTCACTTGCAACCAAAGAGTCCTGGATGACATGTTCCCCACCTGTCAGTTATTTCCCCCCTTTTTACTACAATATCCATTGCCACGGGCCTGCCTGCCAAGGGGATATGGACAGTCCTGTCTCTAAATTGAGATGCCACTGCTGACACAACATAGTGTATGCAGGGATCATCCAGGTATGAAAGCAGGAAAACACTGGCTTTTGGTTTTGGTTCCAACGGTATTTCTATTTGGGACAAATTCCTATCCAGAAAACAAGGGTGTGCTGGTATCATCCAAATAGGTCTCTGCATGCAAATAAGCCAGTTTCAGTGACCACAGCCGGATGACGTTTCTCAAGAAAGTTAAAAAAAAAAAAATTCCCCAAAACTCAGTGTTCCCAAGGAGAGTAGATCATTCTGGACCCACCTAAACAGTAAGAAAGTTTTTTCCCTTTTCGACTTTGTCCTCTCTATTCCCATCCTAAAGCAAATCCTATTTTTCATGCTTCTTTGGCTAGCAAATAAACTTCGATCTACCCAGAAACCCCGACCCCTTTCATGAAGCATTATAAAGGGAGCAAAGGAAAATAATAAACACGTCATGTCTCTCCCTCCCAAATTCACATTATTTCGAAATTCCAAGGACTCTATGAGCCAACCCCCAAACTCTCGCTACGTAGGAATAGTTCTCCCTGAATGACCTGGTGTCCTAACAGGAAGCAACTGAGAGATGTCCCATTGGCTGGCCCGGTAGCAGGCTGCCCAGAGGTCCCCCTCCTCTGCCCACAGGTGTCACTCATATGGAGCCTCCGGACCCCTGATTTCCCCCAGGGCCACACTTGCATCTGGGTAATCGGGATGGCGGCTACATTAGTGAACACTGGTCGCCATGCTAAA